CAACAGTCAAAAAAATTGGACAGTCCTCGGTCCATGCTTTTTAAAAAAATAGTATATTCAACATCAAGAGACTTCATTAGCCAAATTAAGGTTTATTCTTTTTTAAACATACCCTAATTTATAAAGATTAGCTAAGCCTAATTAAACTTTTTTAATAGTCAAACTGCTCCTAGCATCATAAGATCTAAAATAAAATAAAAGACACGATTTTACTTTACTAAAATAAAAGACACGATTTTACTTTTTATCGGAGAATTTTATACATATGTTCTTGTTTTCTAATGTATAAATAGTTTTACAAACCTTAAATATTATTGCATTTTTCACTAAAATTGGGAGTGTATGTTTTTTAATTAGATGTCATATTAATTAATGAAAACCTTAAACTTTTACAAGTTTTATAACAATACCTGTTTTCTGAATGTATAATTTCTTTTAAACTGTTACGTTTTAGAGTTTTGACATGAGCGCTAAAAGAATTTGTAAGCATAACATACGTGCGCTAAATATAATTGCAAAATTAACATAAATGCAAAATGCCACTTATGCCAGTTTTTGCAATTACTTAGCACTTATTAAATTCGCACTTATTCAATCGTCTCTCTGCTAATTTGATATTTGAAATAAAAGTTGTCGTAACATAAAAAGCTATTAACCAGCCAACCTTTTGCGAAACTTTTTTAAACTGATTTTAAGTCTGAGATAAGGGATTTTTAAGGGTCATCCATAAAGTTTGTACACTTTTATTTAGACTTTTTCGAATTTTTATACGCTCTTTTCAATATCCCCCACCTCCGTAGATGTACCTACGCTTCCAACATACCCAGCATGTTATTATTGTTTTTTTAAATTTATTTTCTATTTGCATTTATGATTGACCCCATGCTTTTTCTTCAATTATATGACATATATTAGCGGTTAGCGATATGTCTCTAATGTTGACGAAAAGCAAACGTTAATGCTTAACTTTAAAAGTTGATATAAGAACACTTTTACTTGAAGTATGAGCAGGGCTTCAAAAAAAAGCGATTTAGATTAAAAAAAAGTTCGGCTTTCTCAAATATCATTTTCAAGTTTAAACACGCATTTTTTAAAATTATTATTTTTTCTATGAAACGTTTATTATTTTTTTTATAAAAATTTATGAATCCATATTATATTTTACATGTTCTATAATGCGAACCTATTTAAATGAAAATATACATCAAAATAATTGAACGTCAATAAAACATCATTGAGGCGAAGTTTAATCTCACATACAATTTTAATGTTTACTTTATACTATCATATAATCGGTTTTCTCCTTGCAGTGCTTCCCGTTTTTAGATTAGTGTAACTTTTTTTAGTTGTTTTAATACAAGCCCTTTTTATCATAAGCCCTAGCTATTCTTCAATCATAAGTCTAGCTAACTTTGACTTTGGGTAACAATGATCATTAGATATAGAGGTGAGGATCATTTTACTAGAGGATCCGAATAACACGAAATATTACTAATACTCATTTATTTGTATAGGTTAATACAAAAGGTAATTAAAAATGCTTATTATAATTAAAGGGTGCTAAACGTTATTTAAAAAAATGCTACAACGTCAATGCTCTAGTAAACGATAAGGTACCTGAACAATGCCATTAAACAACTGTCTTATATCCCAATTAACTTTGTGTGGAAAAAAACAAAAATAAGCAAGAGGATTAAAAAATGCTGATTGCTTTGTTATTTCAGGGATACGTCAATTAATTTGCTTTTTTTTAAATATATCAACGAAAAAAAAATTGCTACCAAAAGCATGCCAACATGAAAAAATACTTTACACAAAGTTGGCCGGATTAATTTTCTGAATATATTAATATACTGAACTATAAAACAATGTTTACGTATACGTCTTTATTTGAACAAGAAAATATTTACAATGGCATAATACCAATCAACAAAAACAATAACAAATAAAGAAATTGAACAAAAAATAAGAGCAAGTGGATAAAAAAATATATTTAAAAAAAGATAAACTACTTGCAAATAAATGAAATTTTTGGTACCCACCCCTACCTCTTCCTCTGCGACTTCCCCGCCAACTAAAGGTGGAGTCATCTACTCCCCCATTATTAGCCCACCTTCTCTAAGAATTATAAGAAGTGGGCCCACGATTTTCATACGTTATATCTAACAAAAGTTTTAAACTATCTACTATATAATTCTAGATTATGTTGCAAATAATTGAAGTATAATTAAAAATTTAAGTATATTTACCGGTAGTTTCATTTGCAGCTGTCGGTATTGTGGCTTGTTAACAAAAATATTTTCATTTCATTGCGCAGAAATCATAAAATATTATTACAAAATTAAAATAAACGAATGTGAGTTTTATTTATGCACATAATAACAATAATAAGTAGTTACCATACGCTGCAAATGGTGTATCATTTGTTCTCTCTGAAAAGTAAAATATCTTTACTAATTATTTATTGTATTGAAAAAAACACTAAAAAAACAAAAACACATAGACATTTAAATATTAATGTAATTGTAGTTGTGAAAGGTATTTTTACCAATTGCAGGAACTGTTGCATTAGTTGTTGTAGCTAAATGATATAAGGGGTTACGTGAAAATGTTACATTTTTTTTTGAATATGAACTTAATAAGGTCATGTTAGGGGTTGTTCACAAATTACATCACGCGATTTTTTACCTACTTCTCCCTCGTCACAACATGGTAACTCTTTAGTAGCAAGTCACAAAGCCACCAAACTTCCATCCCTAAAGCATGACATTATTTATGTACGACCCGATAAAAGGTAAATACAAACATCAACTGCAAAAAAATATTTTTGTTTTTTTGTGGTCAAACTATGTTTGTATACTTGAGTTTTGTTCAATGTTAAGGTTAAATTTAGATATATATTACATTTGTACAATATATTTAATATATCATTTTTAACTAGTTAAATTTTTTATTTTACTTTGCCGTTCTTCTAATTGACCAACACGTCGCACTTAAATGTTATTTAAAAATATATATTTATATACTCTGACAATTGGTTATTTAATCTATATTATATCAAAGTAAATATGATATATAAAAAATCAAACACAATACAAAAATATTCACGATAAAAATAAAGGTTGAAACAAATTCATACACATTTCTTTTTGCTTTGCCACTAAAAGAAAAATAGGAAAGGTGTCTCTAATCCGTTACTAAACGTTAGTGTCAATAAAGATGATTTTATTATTTAAAAGAATTGTGTTATTTTTTTAAATAATAAAAGGGATTTTATTATTTAAAAGAATTGTGTTAATATAGTCATCATTCCCCCCTTCCCCCTTCAT